ATTCCTATTCATTCATTCATTCATTCATTCCATACATATCTATTCAGTGCCTACCCCATTCCAAATACTATGGTGGCTTTTTTTTTTTTTTCCAACTCTTGCACAAAGGGAGATGCTAAGGGCTGCCTACATAATGAGGGTGATCCTAAATGCTAACGGCCCCCTGGCACTCCCTATAGCATACCAGGGCATCTGTCCTAAGTGCCCCAAATAGGCCGGCACTGCCTCTAACATTTTTGGAGGGCAACATTTTGTTTCAACTCATACATAAAACTGGAACTTCTATATGTGGCTTATCTCTGATTCTAAAACACAAACTCTGTAAAGGCAGGAGTGACCTAGAAGGTCTGCTCATCCTGTGTTCCCAAAAGACCCTCCAAATGCTTTAGAGATGAACAGATCGAAGGAACCTTAGGAAGTGAAGTTTAGAAAACCCAAGGCAGGACCCAGAAAGACAAGTTCCCTCAAGGCATCTGAGAAATGTTACCTGTTTTAGTCAACATGAACCCCAGAGCAAAGTCCTTTGCAGGAGGAATGGAAAGTTAGAGAGGAAGTAATGAACAGCAAGAGAAAGCTAACCAGTCTAGATTACCGAAAGAATGCCCTGGGTGTCAGATAACTTCAACTGTGCCCACCACACCCTGCAACGTAATCTTGGCTGGACAAAATCAAGGGGTGTAAACCGAAGCCAAGCAGAACTACAGTAGATCTTGTTTGTAAACACTGACAAAATCAGCTAAAAGTCACAACAGCAGGCAAGCCGGCTTTTCTGTTACCTTTTGCAGGCGGGTAAAAAGATAATTTACAACCCCAGTACTCGGATGACAGCTGACAGCTTGAGAATTAACCCAAGTCCTACTAAAACCTAAGTGGCTTGCTTTAGCGTTAAAAGAAAATTGCATCCAAATGTGATTTCTTTCTCTCTTGGCCCTTGCAACCCTCAATTAAGCAAGCTATATAAAAGGTAATCCAAAAATTATCACAACTTCCAGGCCGGCATCCAAGCAAGGCCACCCACCACAGTCAAGCATTAACCCAATCAAAAAACACTGGGGGCCTATTTGGCGCCTGTCACTGTGCTAAGTGTTGAGAAGCACTGGAGAAAGAGGTAAGACCCTATCTTTGTGGGATGCTATTGGGGAAGACGGATTATAATTAAGTAAACAAAGCCCAAATGATTACATGTGTGCTGCAGTGAGCAACTGTAGAAAAAAAGCTGTGGCTATGCTAGCAACTAAAGGTGGGGGTCAGGAAAGACTCTGCAGGTGACCCTGATGCCGGAATCCAAAGCATGAGGAGGAGGAAGGTATTTGCAGAGCCAAGGCAAGAGCATCCCAGGCAAAGGGAAGGGCAAGTTCAAAGATCCTCAGGCAGAACAAGAATAGCAATGAGGCTCACGTTAGCAGAAGGCAGTGAGGGATGGCCGGAGTGACAAGGGAAGTTGGAGATGAGGTATAGGCCAGCCCCTGGTGCTGATGGGTGTTCAAGGAAGAGGATGATATGATTCTGATCTGCAATTTTGAAAGCCAGGCACTCAGGCTCCCGGGTAGGGAATGGACTAGAGATACCCAGGGCAGAAGCTGAGGAAGTTGGTCCAGGAAGGAGGCAAGGGTGGCCAGGACCAGAGTGGGAGCCAAGATCCTCAGGACACATGGACACCTAGAGGTAGAACCCTAGGACAGCCTGGACATGGAGGGTGAGGAAAAGGAGAAGCAAGGACCACTCCTAGCAAGAGGGTGGGTAGTGGGGCCACTGACTGGGACAGAGAAGACTGAGGGAAGGGGAGAGCTGGAAGGGTTATCAAGAGCTCCGTTCATGAACAAGAATTGGAAGCCCCCAGAAGCGCCGTGTTGGAAATAAGACCATGGGAATCACCAGCAGATGATGGGGGGTGGGTGGATCATATTACCTAGGAAGAGAGTGTCAACCACACGAAGGAAGCCAGTCTAGTCCCTGAGTGGCCCCATGATGCAGTGGTCAGAGGAGCAAGAGCAGGGAGACTGGAGAGGAACCATCAGGAAGGGGAGCAGAGAAGCAGGGGAGTGTGGTAGTTAGAAGCTGGAGGGCAGTGGGAAGAGAGGGTGGCCACTGGATAGGAACACAGCCGAGGGATTAACACAAGGACAGCCATCTGGCCCCATGCAGGTTCCCAGGGACCTGCACTTGGGGCGGGACAGCAGAGCGTGGGGGTTAACGAATGGCAGGAGAAGAGAGCCAACAGGGACGGTGGGTTTGGGGTGGATCTTCTGAGTCATCTTCAGGTGAAAAGGAGCAGAGAAGCAGCAGAGAGCCATAAAGTGACAGAAGCTAGAGCTCTGCTCTCCAATATGGCAGCCACCACCCACATGTGGCTTTTCCATTCCAATTAAATTAAAAATTCAGGTCCTTGGTCACACGAGCCACATTTCAGGTGCCCAACAGCCACTCGTGGCAGGTGGCAGCCATATGGGGCCACGCAGACACAGACGGTCTCATGGGTGAGGAAAGGTCTCCTGGACGGCACTGAGCCAAGCCCTAGTGTACACTGCTGGGAAAACCCAGGAGGTGGAAGGAGGAGAGAGAGATGGTGCCTGATGAGGTGAGAGGGGTGGGATGGATGGTCCTGGCCGGGTGACAAGACAAAGGCCTGGCCAGCCACTGAGCCAGGTGGGAAGAAAGCCACTAGGGTAGTGCAGGTGGTAGGAAGACGAGGCTTTCCTCAGTCTGTGGAGGGACCTGTCCTGTCAGCAAAGGGAGGCAGGTATATGTGAGGAGACGAGAGGTCTGAGATGTGAGAAGGTCTGCACCAGCGGCCTCTTCCTCGGGCAGAGAAAACAAACTTACTGGGGAAACCACAGGCTTAACGCAAAAACACTTCACAGAAGAGAAGCAGAAAGTGAATGTGTGAAAGAGGATAAGCATCTTAAGTGAGGAAGAAGTAAACTCAGGGTTTTGTTTCCCCCCCCTTAAGTCTCAGCCATGTCTGCACAGTCGAGCCGTGACAGGGCTACAGGACCACAGTGAGGATCCCTCCTGGCTGCCCTTCTGTTCTTCCCCCTCATCCTACTCAACTCTCGGAGAGGATGACATTGGTACTATTTTAGGTTGAGATGGCTCCCTCCACCCTCTGTCTCAACTGCTCATCCAGCCCCGGCTCCATCTCAATTTACAGCCATGGTTTGTATGTTCACATGAATCACAGAAGACGTGGGTACAGTGAAGCTGGCAGAAGCGGGCAGAGGCAGGAGTTACAAACCAGCCCTCACCTACAAGAAGGGAGTAACACACATGTACCGAGTGATGCTAAAACGACAGGAAAGCCACATTCCCTTTCAACAAGCTCCGAGCTACTCCTCCCTGATGCTCCACAAACAAACATTACCTTCTGACATTTTCTTCAAGCTTTTACGAGTAAACATTTTCATTTCCACAGAACTATTTGATCTCAACCACAGAGTTTCAATATTCGTTTTTGATCACGCAAGTGTGTTTGTGCTGTCTGTGCCGGGGGGGGGGGGGCACAGAGTTAAAATTACCAGATCCCTTTGATCTTCCATCTTGAGACCTACATTAGCCAACTCCTTCCCGCTGCCCCCACCTCGTACATTTTTTTAAGTATGAAATCTGAGAATCTCAAAGGTTCCCACTGCACAAAGAGGTCACTGGAAATGTTACAGAAAACCTGCTTTCCAACCAGTGTGCCTCTGGTAAAAATCACCCATAGTTGCTCTATGTGTGAAATCTCCTGGATTGGCACCAATGTCTTAAGCCAACCTCTCGGTCCCTCTGCTCTACTCATGGAGGTCTGGAGCCCTCACACTTTCCTTCAACGAAATTCCTCTCCACCTGCCTCTGGTTCCTTCTGACACTTGCAGACCCCACAGACAATATTGGCTGGAGAAGATGACTCCAGAAATTTATGTGGAGTGAGGTACAAGAGAGCCACTGACCATGGGAGCTAGGTCAGGCCACCAGGACAATCTCACCCCTTTCCACTCCTCCCCAACCCCACAGAGAAAAGAACGACCTCTAGACCCACCCAGCAGAAGTCTTAGGGTCAGGAGGAGGCCGTTTGAAGGCCGCTAAGCACAGCAGCAGGGGACAATTCAGGAACTCTGGTTCACGGGCCCACACCCCCACCACCCCAGGGTCCCTGTCAGGCTGGGGCTTCCCCTCTGCTGAGGCACAAATGTCCTTCTACAAACGCTCATCAGCTGCCCAACCTGGGGATAGTCACCGAACCACTTAAAGCATCAGTTTCCTCATCTGTAAAATGGGCATAATTAACTGTTCCAGGAAATCGTCACCACGCGCTCCGGGCGGGTGAGCAGGTGTAAGGAGTTAATCGAGTTGTTAGTACAGTGGCTCCCTGACTCACAGCGCCTGCTGCTCGCGGAGACGCCAAAGAGAAATCTACCCTGCTTTTTAAATTACTTTATAGACTCGAGCATTGTCACTTGCACAGAGTGTTTTAACTTCCCCCTGAGCATCTTACTCCGTTGTGTGGAAGACCGGAGCGTCACCCGGCTCCTTCCAGACTCCTCACCCTCCTCCGTCTGGAAGCAGAGTCAAAGTCCACTGTCCTGCGCTCGGGCGGGGTTGGGGGGCGGGCACGATTATTTGGTCGGCTTCCTTTCCAGGAAAACTTCTATTTCCATTCTGTCGTGGAGGACGACAAGCTGCTTCTCACACTCACAAACACAGGCCCCGGAGTTGGTCGCGCCCGGGGACCGCGGGAGCCCGGCCAGGGTCCCCGTCCCCGCCGCGGCCGCGCCCCGGGGGCCAGCTCGGAGGAGGAGGGCCGAAAGTCCGCGCCCAGGCCGGGCCGCCCGTGCGGGGGGCGGAGGGCGCGGGGTCGGGACCCCCGGGCTGGCAGGCGCCGCCCCGCGCTCGCCCCCGGCCCCCGGCCCCCGGCCCCCGGCCCCGGCGCGGCGGGCGGGCGCGCGCGGAGGGCGCCGGCCCCCGGAGGCTCGGAGCCGGGGCCGCCTGGCGGCCCCTCCGGCGGGCGCTGGCTCACTCACCCCATCTCCGGCGCTGCTCCGGCCGCCGCTCCGACGGGCCCCCCGGCGCTTGCTCCCAGAGCGCTCCGCAGCCGCTCCCCGCGCCGCACATGCGGCGGCCCGTGCGCGCCCGGCTCAGCCCCGGCGCCGCTCCATTGCGCGGGGTACGCGGTGCCGCCGCCGCCAGGCGCGGGCGGGCGGGGGCTGGGCCGGCGGGGGCTGGGCGGCCGCGCTCCGGCCCCGCCCCGCCCCGCCCCGCCCGCTCCCCGCGCCCGCTCCTTACGTAACCTCGGGGGGCCTCCGGCCGCGGCGCCCGCCTCCCCGCCGCCCCCTTCCCGCGGCGGGCGGCGTGGGCGCGCCCCCGCTCCTGGCCGCCGGGGGCGAGCGTCCCGCCCGCTGGACCCCGAGGCGCGCGCGCAGCGGGAGGGACTTTGGGGGCCGCCCAGCGGTCGCAGATGAGGGAACTGAGGCCCCGGCAGGGGGAGTGAGGAGCCCAAGGTCACACTTGCAGACCCGAGGTCAGGTCTCCAGGACCTGAGATGGGCACGGCCATGCCCCTCCCCCGAAGCCCACCCTCCTTTTGCTGCCGATTGCCAGGCTCGGTGGCTCAGGGTACCCGCCGCCAGGAGATTCCGGAAAGCCAACGTGGCAGGAAGGATCCTGCACCTGCGGCAGGTGTTCTGGGCTCTTCCCCCATAAAGATGGGACTGGGCTCCCGATTAGAGACTAATAGCTTCCAAGGAGGCTTAACTAAGCTTGGTTTTATTCTTAGAGCAAGGGAAACAGAGAGCAAAAAGAAAAACTAAAGAGCATCCCTGAATTCCCCGTCCACACATCATGTTCTGATTCCCTACCAAAGGCTGGCACTGGGACGAAGCTAATCTGCCCCTGAGGGCCTCCCACCAACCAGATCATCTTCTGCTGAGAACACACTGCCCACATAAACCTGCCACTTCAGGACATTTAAAAAAAAGAAGAAGGAGAAGTAAAGGAACAAGCATACGAAGTAGGGCCACCATCTTGAACCTACTGTCCTCTCTTCTGAGACCATAGGTTTATCTATTAACCAACAAGGTCTCCTGGGATGGGGAGGAGCACCCACCCCCTGTACTTCACACTGTGGTAATTTTCTCAATTACAAACCTGACCTTGCCACTCTTCTTAAAGTCCTTCAGTGGCTTCCTTCCCACCATCCTTAGGATAAAGACCAACATACTAAACATGCCTCAAGACCCTGCCCCATCACTCTTCCACTGCCTTCTCTGGCCTTTTCTCTCTCCTTCTCTTCCTGCCCTTAGCCAACTGACCATCCTCCTATCAGCCCCAGGACCTTTGCACATGTGAGTCTCTCCCTCTGGGAAGATTCTCTCCTCTCCTGTCTGTATCACCCCTAGTCAATTCCTACTCATTCTTCAGATCTCAGCTAAACCATCACTTCCTTGTGGAACCTTTACTTAATGCCCTAGACAAACGGCGAGCTCCCATACTTCTTCATGACACTTATTATTTGCAATATATATTTGCAAAATTATTAGTTTAATATGTCTCCCAGGCACATCTGCAAACTCTATATTTTCTGAAGCCCTATATCTTCGCTCATCATTGTATCTCCAGTGCCTGAAACTGTGCCTAAAGCCCTCCATAAATACCTGTTGAATGAATGAACTAGCAGAAGCCAGGCCATAGACACACAAAATTGGCCAGGGTCTGTAAGCACACACGAGTCTGTTCAGAGCCAGGGCTGGTGCTTGGTGCTGGAGGAAACCTATCTATCATAAACTGAATTCCAAAGACCAAGGGTGGGGGTGGGGGTTGTCCTCAGCAGTGTCCAAGGCAGCAGTCAGCTCAGCTGGAGTGGGGGTATCAGACAGATTCATGGTGCAGCACGGCCAAGCAGTCTCCCAAATCCTGAACAAGAATTTCTTTCTGTTCCACTGGTGGGAAGGCACACCCATTTACCTTGGGAGGAAGCAGTGAGGCGAGACAGGTGGAGTTGGTGAATCACTTGGGCTGCTTCCCACAGTATGTGGGAAGCAAAGCGATGCTGGAGGTATGAGCCCACATAAGGCTCAACATTCCGTGAGTAAAGTGGCTGTCCCTCTGGACAAAGGCCCTCCCTACAGGGTGAGGGGGAAGAAAAGGAAAAGCATGGGCCAGACAAGATTTGGAAACAGATTCCCCTCCTTTCCATCAGCTTTGGGGGAGTTGTGGAGAGGGGCTTCCTTCCTCTTCCAACCCCAACTCAAGGCCCAGATTGGGTGCTGCCTCTCGGGAGGTGCACGGGGATGAGCTAAAGCATGTTGGTGTTCCCAGAAAGTAAGAAAGTGCCCAAAAAAACCAAAAGGATGGGGACACAGGTGCTCACTGCAGGAGCTCCTGATGGCCAAAGCTGGAGAAGTTTGAGCAATGAGATAAATGACACTGATTAGGATCATGATGCAACATAAGAAATATTACTCAGCCATTAGAAATGACAAATACCCACCATTTGCTTCAACGTGGATGGAACTGGAGGGTATTATGCTGAGTGAAATAAGTCAATCGGAGAAGGACAAACATATGTTCTCATTCATTTGGGGAATATAAATAATAGTGAAAGGGAATATAAGGGAAGGGAGAAGAAATGTGTGGAAAATATCAGAAAGGGAGACAGAACATAAAGACTCCTAACTCTGAGAAATGAACTAGGGGTGGTGGAAGGGGAAGAAGGCGGAGGGTGGGGGTGAATGGGTGATGGGCACTGAGGGGGACACTTGACGGGATGAGCACTGGGTGTTATTCTGCATGTTGGCAAATTGAACACCAATAAAAAATAAATTTATTATAAAAAAAGAAATAAATACACATCAGTCCGTACTTTAGGTATTAAGTAAGTGGAGAAGAGGCAAATCTTCCCAACCAAAGAATTCCAAATAAGATGTGTAGTTGCTCCCCAACCCAGGAGGTAGAGTGTGACATGCCCCCACTCCCCCACTGCCTTGAGAGGAGGTCTCAGGGTCCTAGTGATTCGCCTCTAAAGAATAGAGTATGGACAGGAAAAAATGACAACTCCACAGTGGAGGAACCTGGCAGACCCTGCGCTGACCAATCAATCAGGTTAACATCACCAGTGATGAGCCATGTTGGTGCCACACACCTCTGATACGGTGTGATGAGCCGTGAACTTGACCTGTGTGATGTTTTCTTCCCCCAACCCCATAACCCCAGTCGAATCACGAGAAACACACCAGACAAATCCACATTCAGGAACATTCTACAAAATACCTGACGAGTACTCCTCCACCAAGGTCACGAAAAAGAAAGACCAAGAAATTGTTACAGACCAGAGGAGACCCAGGAGATATGATGACTGAGTGCACATGAAATCCTGGACTCAGTCCTGGAAGAGAAAAAGGAAAACCTGTTGAGGTCCAAATAAAGTCTGGGGTTCAGTTACTAGCAATGCACTAGTACCGGCTTCTTGCGTGGTGTCCTGTGGTAACATCGGACACTGACAATGGGGGATGCTTGGTGAGGGGTATGTGAGAGCTCTGGGCAGTATCTTTGGCACTTTTCTGCAAATCTAAAATTGGTCTGAAATAAGAAGTTTATTGAAAAAGGAAGGTACCCTGAGTGTCTCCTATATACCAAATTCTGCACTCCGTCTCACCACTGGCCATGTTAGGAAGGTGAGCTTGCAGAGCTCTGAACAAGTAACTGATCTGGTGATACCTGGGGCCTGAAATGGTGTGCACGACTCCCAGAGTAAGCCATGGATTGGTACCCGCGCTTTTCAACGCAGCTGCAACTTGCAGTGAGAAATACATCTGACACTGCAACCCAGGCCCTGCTTCAACTTGCTCTGCAGATACCTATCTATATAAAATGGAAACAAAAGTTTTATATATATATAAATATATATATATATATGAAAGTTATACAGAACAATTCTTTTCCTCTCACCTGCAAAGCATTCAACATTTTCCCTTCTGTTCTATTTTTAAAAGCAGTGCTGCTCACAACCCACTACATTGATTTCAAAACCTGTAATCTCTATTTTTTTCTCAACAGCAAGATGAGGCTTAACATGTACATGTATGGTATTACTATTAGTGTGTTCATATTTCTGATACTGCTGATCCAGGGACTTCAACCACCTTTTTTCTTCTGACCATACAAGATCAGTCCTTGACGTATGAAACAAATGCCTCTTTAAAGCCATAATGCAATGAATAACTATCAGGTGTTGTGCAGCTACTAGATTATATTTGTGAAGACTACGTAGTGACATAGAAAAATATTTATTCTTTTGGCAAATATCGATCACCTATTATGTGTCTGATGCTGTGCTGGGCATGAGAGATAAAGTGCTCAGCAAAAAAGACACAATTCTTCCAGCACAGAATTATAAAGTTGGGTGGAAACTATTAATCAAATAATCACACAATACATAAACTGTGATGTATGTGAATGAAAGAGTCCTAATTTAGGTTGAGAAAGGTGGGCAGGAATGGCCTCTAAAGAGGCCCTGGCCAGGGATGGTGCAGAAGAAAGAGGTCCCGGGCAGGGGGGACGTCAGAGACACTGCCATGAGGGAGAAGTGGGAAGGTCAGAAGAACTGGAAGGTCAGGATGGTTCAAATGTGGTGAGTTTCATGAGGCACGAGATGAGAAGGAGGGAACCCAGGGGCCCCAGGTCTGGCTAAGGATTGGGATTTGTCCAAGTACATTGGCAGGTGGGGAAATGCTAGGACCTGGTTTACCTTTTTACCTTTTATTTTTTTTAATGATTAATTAAATGTCTTTTTAAAATTTACATTTAATGAATTAATATATAATGTATTATTGGTTTCAGAGGCAGAGTTCAGTGATTCATCAGTTGAATGTAACACCCAGTGTTCATCACATCACGTGCCCTCCTTAATGTCCATCCCCAGTGACCCCATCCCCCCACTCCTCTCCCTTCCAGCAACCTTCAGTTTGTTTCCTATGATTAGGAGTCTCTTATGGTTTGTCTTCCTCTCTGATTTCATCTTGTTTTATTTTTTTCCTCTCTTCCCCTATGTTCCACTGTTTTGTTTCTTAAATTCCACATAAGTGAGAACATATGATACTTGTCTTTCTCTGATTGACTTATTTGACTTAGCATAATACCCTTTAGTTCCATCCACATCATTGCAAATGGCAAGATTTCATTTTTTGGTGGCTGAGTAGTAT